TGTGTGTAATTTGAAGGGAATCGGATGCTTATTTTAGATTTTATGATCGTTTTGATTATTCAAAATTTTGATCCTTTGTGGGGGAGGTACCACAAGGAATAGTCAGATTTCCACCATCTTTATAACAAATCTTGTGTTGATAGAAGTATTGATATGTACCAATTCTGAGTGGAATCGGATGTTAATTTCACGTTTTATGAGCTTCATGGATACACAAATTTTTGGAGTAAACCGATATATACCAGTTTCGCCGCAGACCTTGGGCAAATAAAAATATTGCGATGTATGTAATTTAAAGAAATCCCAGATGCTTATTTCGGATTTAATGATCGTTTTGATTATTCAAAACATTGACCCTTTGTGGGGGAGGTACCAGAGGGAATGATCCGATTTCCACCATCTTTATAACAGATCTTGTATTTATGGAAATATTGAGATTTGCCAAGTCTTAATGGAACCGGATGTTAAATTCGTGTTTTATGAGTTTCATGAACATTCAAAACGTTGACCTTTTGTGCGGGACGTACCAGAAGGAGTGGATCGATATATTCCATCTTCACAGACCTTGGGTTAATAAAAATATTGTGATATGTGTTATTTAAAGAAATAGCAGATGCTTATTTCGGATTTTATGATTATCTTGATTATTCCAAACTTTGACCCTTTGGGGGGAGGTACCAGAAGGAATGGTCCTATCTCTACCATGTTTATAACATGTATTGTGTTGATAGAAATATTGAGATGTGCCAACTCTGAATGGAATCGGATGTTAATTTTGTGTTTTATGAGCTTCATGAAATTTCAAACTGTTGACCCTTTGTGGGGGAGGCAAAATTGGACCGATATATTCCATCTTCATACCATACCTTGGGTTAATAAAAATATTGTGATGTGTTTAACTTGAAGACCATTGGACACTTACATCACATTTTATTAGAGTTTGAATCATTCTAAATTTGACCCTTTGTGGGGGAGGTGCTTGATTGTGTGGACCGATATTGTCCATTTTCACTTTTTTGCAATAAATTATTTTCTTTGAAAATGTTGACATTTTGTGTGGGAGGTGCAAGAAGGTGTGGACCGATATTGCCCATCTCCGAACTCGACCTAAGTTTGACAATAATATTACGATGTACCAAGTCTGGATCAAATTGGATATTTCTTTCGGGAGTTATCATGCGTACCAGCCAGCCAGATAGACGGACGGACATAGCTAGACCAAATGTCCTAAATCGGATTTAGTCCAAAGATACCTAGGGCCTAAAACCATTATTTCGATGAGGCACGTTTTGGCCGTAACAAATGATATATATACACTCTCTGGCAATATGACTGAGGGTATAATAGTATGCCATTTACTTTGTTTCCAATATCGGTTCATATTTTGACATAAGCCTTATATAGCGGCAACGACCGATTAAAGATCTAAAACACATATTTTTTTTTATCGGTAGAACACATTCGTGCATAAATTGTTCTTGGAGAATACTCAATAAATGCCTATTACTGCGGGTTTAGTATTTTGGGTTCATAGCCAATGAAAAATATCTGAGAAGATTACACAGTACTTAATAACAGTACTCTGACCAGGTATTGCCGCTATACCAAAATTTCAGGGGAATTAAATTTAAGTTTCCACATGGTGAGAAAGCCGGAAAGCGGACAGTAAATCAGTTTGTGTTTAATATTGTATAAAATATTAAAAAAATATCTCATCGCTCAATGTTTTCGGGGTTTTCTGATATCGGTTTTTTAATTTGAATTTCCAACATTAAACGAAAAAGTGATACAAAAAAAGTGAAGTGAAAAATATGAGTGAGTGCAACAAAACGCATCCTGCTACATCTTTGAGGGGTAATGCTGTACGTTGTATGTTTTGTTTATTTGAAAATATCTAAACTCCGTTTATATGATATGCATAAGCGTATAGCTTTTCCCCTTAAATGTCGGTAGCAAATATCGTCGATCAAAACTAAAAAATTGTATTTATAATTGTATTAATGTGTGTGTGTATTTGTGTAATATCAATATAATATCCCGTAAAAGTGTACAAAACATGTGTAAATTATCAGTTATCATTGGAAATGAATTTTGAGTATCTATCTTATCGTCGTAGCGTTTTAACAAATTTTCCACAAACTATTAATACCCTCAGTGAGTCATTTTCAAAATCATATAAAATATCGCTCAGTTATTCAAAAAGGGGCATAACTCACAAATTGGAAAGATTGTAATTCTTGCAGACAAAATAGAAGCCCATATTCTAAAATCGTATTGCGTCCAAATTTTATGTTGATTTCTCGAAAACACCTGTCTTGTGTAACGATTTTACTTCTGATGTGACAAAACATAACCGAATAATTTTTGAGCTATTGATGACACGGACCATGTTTGATATTGCGTATATTTCATCTTCGATGCTCCTAAGTTTCGCTGCAAGATTTAAGCCATGTTGATTAAATAGTTTACGAAATTTTGTATTTGAAGATCTAAATGGGTACTACAGCCTATGACAAAAAAAAAAAAAAAAAAAGAAATACTTATGCAGGTCCACGTCTTCGTATAACCCCCATATAACGGTACCTCCTGACATTCTGTATTTTGATGATTTTATCGACATTATTTATCCAATTTTTTTCGAATTTTGTATTTGATGTTCGGACTGATATTATATGTTTGGAGCACAATAACCATGAAATCGAAAAAATATATATGGAGACCATAACCAAATCTGAAGCGATCTAGATAAAATTTGGCAGAGGTATGTCTGAGCTGTTTGATGTATGTAGTGCCAAATATCATTGTTTTGGAGTACATATTGCGAATGGGAAGAAATGCGACCTGTATTTAGTTTAAAAAAAATACAGGGACATGCATAAGTCGGTTGTGAATCAACGAAGACTATCACAAGAAACTATGGTTCTATTTCGACTCCTGGTTACATACAAATGCACAAATAAATAATAATCTTTACCACTGTGGCGTAGAGCTTTTTTTTTGTCCTGAAAGTTTGATGCGGTTGAAATTGAAGCAAACTCTTTCAAAATAGCTAAAAAAATATAAAAAAAAACAAAATAGAAAAATTTTAAAATCCAAAAATGGACCTGGACATTCTTTTTAGAGAGAACAATTAAGAAAATAAAGGGATACCGTTTTATCGCGAAAATACTAGAAAGTGGGGCTACATTAATCCCGAAATATTAAATCATAGCTGATTTAGAGGAAAAACTTTAATACCTCCCACCATTGGGTAAAGAAAACATTTTTATATAAAAGGACTGAATTCAAGCATGTTCCACATAAGCTGTATATGTAGCTTATGTAAGTAAGACCGTTTGGATAATGCAGTTAATCGTATAAAAAAAACATAAAGGATGTGGAGCCGTTATAAGGGAGCCATACCAAAACGGGTACCTATATAGACAACTTTATATTACAATGATTGTTATCTATTGCGAATCTTAAATGCCAAGTTAAAAAAATGTGATTAGTATTGTCCAAATACCGAATATCGGTGGGTACCGTTATATGTGCGCCATAGGAAAACATGGACCTAAATATTTAATGTTTTGTCATTGGAGCGAGAACCCATAAAGAACTACAAATACCGTGGAAAAATGTGGCAAAAATCATTATAATACCGAATATATGGAGGTACCGTTATATGGGGGATATACGAAAACGTGGACCTATATCTAGAACCCATTATGACCTTCAAATGCTAATTTTTAGACAAATCCGTAGAAAAATGTGTCAAAAATCACCAAAATATAGGGCTATACGAAAAACGTGGACCTATACATACAATGTTCCGCCACCGGAGCTAGACCCTATTATGACCTAAAAATACCAATTTTTAGACAAATCTGTGAAAAAATGTGACAAAAATCAGCCAAATATGGAACATCGGGAGGTACAGTTACATGGGGACTATACGAAAACGTGAACTGATATATCTCATTTCCAGTACCAACCATCGTAGACACAATACAAATTGTTGTGCCAAATTTTGAAGCTCTACGTCAAATAATGTGGGCTGTATCGTGATTTCAACAGACAGATAGTAAAATCGAATTTTATGCTGAATATGAATATGTATACTTTATGGGGTCTACGCCGAATATTTAGGTTTTTACAAACGGAATGACAAAGTTAATATACCCTCCTTTTTAAGGTGGAGGGTATACAAACTCTCCATATGTTAGATATAGTCCCTATAGTGATACGTTTGTACCAACTTGAATGCCTAAGGTTTCATTAAAATGGAGTTATCCAAAACCTTGACTCACATTGAACCTTTTTTTGCAAGAGTGCGTACCTCTTAAGATTTTTTACATACCTTTTTAAATGCACTAATTCGATAAATGGTATTTAGAGCTTCGGAATACTTTAAATCAGTCGGATATAGGTAGAACCTGTACCATCAAATTGTACGCTTTTCATCGGACGTCTCTTTATTCAACCAATTGTCCGAACTTTTGAATATTTTGTAATGGCTTCTTCTATTTTTTTTATCTCTATTCTTTTTTTTTTTTAATTTTAAACCTCACTAAAACCCATTTTCTTATTTTTTATTTCAGATTTTCGGAATACTGCCATTCTGCCCGCCCAGCCCCAAAATAATCCTCGATCACTGCGTCTGATTGCATCATTTTATTGCTTTTACTTGTCAATATTTTTCAGCAAAATTGATTAACAAAAAATTGATAATATTATGGCCCAAAATGTGCCACGCCCCTTAACACCACTACATATGTACTGCCAAGAAATTGGCTAAACTATTTTTATATAAATTTATAATTGACTTTTAAAGTCCTAGTTTCCAACAACATTTTAAATGTCAATATAAACAGTTGACATTTGAACCGATTTAGAACAGCTTATTTGATCCTCAAAATATTTCTCCTGATATGCAGTACATGAGTAGTGGTGTGGGTCTTAAAATTTTTATTTATTTTTGTTTTTGTATTAATTTCCAATTTCGATTCCTCTATTTACAGCTGTGAACAAATTACAAAGAAAATGTCTCATTACTGAAAAAGACAACATGTCGTTGTACTCCATTTGTTAATTTAAAACAATATAACTAAAAGTAAAATTGTTTAAATTAACCAAAAAAAAAAACTCAAGTTATAAAAGAAATTAAACTAACAACAACAAAAACAAAAAATAGACAAAACAATATTTGTAGATTTTAAATACAACAACAAACAACTAAGAAAAAAGTGTAGGACTTTAAATCAACCATCAACAACAACAACAACACGAACAACAAACCCAACAAGCAAGTGACAACCTACAACAACTTCAATTCCAAAAAAGAAACTTCAAGTGGACTCCTCATCAAAATTTCAAAAGGGAGTTGTGTGCCTCTCTATTTGCCTATTTGCAATTCATTGGCATTCGCATCATCCAACAGCCCCACCCCACCCCCAAAAATTTGCAAAATCAATATAAATATTTTATTGAGTGGCAATTTCATAATTTATTTACCTCCAAGCTATATATATTTTTTAATGTGTCCTGTGCTGTTTCGTTCCGTTCGTTCGTTTTAATTGCAAACTCGTTAAAGCTCCAACGACGCTCGCTCCTCCTCCAAACAATTCCAAAACAAAAATCCAAACTTTTGAAAAAATGTATTTCTAAAAACACAACAAACGACAAGGATTTTCAATTCCTTTAGAAGCAACCAACTCAACTTCCTCTCCCCCCGACTCAGCACGTCGAGTCAATCCCGCGTCCATCGAATTTGGAAGACGTTTTGGAAAACATCTACATTTGGAGAGAAGATATTTTTCAAAATAGCAAGCAGAGAGACAACATTTTAATCTTTTTTGTGTGTGTCTACAACTGATGGATGGCAATGCCCAAAATATGTTTCACGGAAATCATCAAGGGTAAGTGTAACCACGCCACGTTTATTAAGAAATCATTACTCATTTCCCTTTCTTTTTGTCCTTTTTTCAGAGATCCCTATTACCGCTATGATCCAGCCGCTGCCGCAGCAGCTGCGGCTGCAGCATCTCCACGGGCCATGGGACCACCCGGTGGCTATCCTCGGCACAGAGGCCCACATCCATTGCAGCAACAGCCTCAGTACCCCACTTATCAGCCAACGGCGGACAACATCTATGGCCTAAGTGCCGCCGATCAACATGCCGGCATGGGTATGGGTGATTTAAGCGGTTGGGGTGCCGGACCCACCGTACCCGGCCAGGCAGGTGCCTATCCAGGTGCCACATTAGGAGCTTATGGTCATCCCCAGGCGGGGCCACCGACACAACAAAGGCAGTCATCATCACAGCCAAGGTAAGTCTACGAAAAAACTCCCTTACTTTGTCATATCTGTTAACCTTCTACTTGTTTTTGCCCAGCTATCGCCAACACATGCCCGCCTATGGCCAACAGGATCAATCAAAATTACCCTATGGCTCACAGCAGGGTATGATGAGCAGTCTACTGCAACAGCCTGGACCAAATGTTGGACCTGCTGGCGGCTATGGTGCCCTAACACAACAACAACCACAGCAGCAACAAGCACCTACGCCCCAACAGCAACAACAACAACAGCAGCAGCAACAACAGCAAAGCCAGCAATCACGCCTGCCCCCACAACACTATCCCCAAGCTCCCAGCCAACATCCTCTCTACTCGACCACACCTACACAACCGGGACCTGGTGTGCCCGCCGGATCGAGTGTAACGGGCGCACCACAAGGCTATGGTGTCCCCTATGGGGCACCCTTGCAGCATCAAACCAGTCGATCGGCGCCCCAGCATGTGGGCTATGGTCATGCTGGTCTTGATCAGCCAAGTCCATATGGGCAACATGTGCCAGGTGGAGCAGCAGCACCTGGTGGCGTTGTCCCCAGTCATCATTTAAGTGCCCAGCAGCAGGCTGGCCAATTGAGTTCGCATATGGTGGGTGGTCCAGGACCACAACAACAACAACAGCAGCAGCAACAGCCACCCCCTAGTATGCAACAGCAACAACATGGAGTACCTCCGGGTTTAGGTACACCACAGCAGCAACAACAACAACAGCAGCAAAGTACAGCCCATTTGCTGCAAAGCCAGCAAGGCCAACAACAACAACCACAGCAGCAAACACAAAACCACGTTGGCCTCATGCAGGCCACGGGTCAGCATCAACAACTGCCGCCACCCCATATGGGAGTGGTGCCACCATCATATGCTGGCCTACACCAACAACAGAGCCAACAACCCCCACCCCAACAACAGCAGCCAGTGGGAGGGGCACCTTCCTACATGACATCGGCGGGAAAACATCAGGCCACAGCATCGCCCCAATATCGGGCGCCATTCCCGCAACTTTCACCACAAATGTCACCCAGGCCACCGACCATGTCACCCCACCCACAAATGTCTCCAAGACCAGGTATGTCGCCAGCGAAACCACCTTCCAGTCAACAGCAGCAGCAGCAACAACAACAGGGACCTTCGCCTCAGACGCAACAGCAGCAGCAGTCAAGTGTGAATTCACCCAGCACCCAACAGCAGCAACAACAACAGCAGCAGCAAACCACACATCATAGCATATCGGGTATGGTGGGTTTATCTTCACCCAGGCAACCGACAACGGCCGGAGGTGGTCCACCAAGTTCCAAGACGGGAGGTTCCACACCCGTCAATACCTTACAGGCTTTGGAGCAGATGGTAATGCCGGGCCAGGGCTTATCGGCCGGTGGTCCTATGGATTATCCCTCAGCCTATAGGCAGGCAGCGGCGGCAGCTCAACATGGTCCGATGGGACCACGTATGCCTGTGTCGCCTCAACACCAACAATGGTCGGCCCACCTGAATATGCAACAAAGTCAGCAGGCGCCACCAAATCCCATAAGTGTGGGTCAGATGACCGCTCCACCACAAATGCCCCATCCACAACAGCAGCAGCAACAACATCAACAACAAATGGGTATGTATGGAGCACCACCGCCGCAACCAACACATCATCAGCAGCAACTGCAGCAGCAGCAACAACAGCAGGCTCCTGCGCCTTCACAGCAAACTGGAGGTCAGACACCCACCCCTCATGGCATTGGTCAGCTGACAACACCTGTCTCCCAAGCCCAACAGCAACAACAGCAGCAATCAACACCTCCTCATACTCAACCCCATTCACATCAACAACAACAGCAGCAGCATCAGCAACAACAACAACACCAACAACATCAACAGCAACATTTGACCGAACAATTGCAGCATTCCATCAATGATATTGTGGGCAATACTTCATCCTCAAATTCCCAACAACAGCAACAATCACATGCTGCATCCTCTATGTCTCCCATGCATCATCAGCAGACAGCCGGAGGAAGTATGACTTTGCATCACATGACCACACCAGGACATCATCAAATGGGTCCAGGTGATCAGATGCATCAGTCATCTCCGTCAATACAGCCTAGGGGTGTTGAGCCATCGCATCACCCGCAACAGCAGCAGCAGCCTGCACCTGGATCATTACAACCACCATCGAATCAAATGCAGCAGCAACAGCAACAGCAAAAACAACAAAGTCCCCACCATCAGCAGGCGCACCAGCAAAGGAGTCCCCATCAGGCGACGCCACAACATCAACAACAACAACAGCCTTCTCCTATGCATCCCACACAGCAACAACAGCCTTCACCAATGCATCCAACACAGCACCAACAACAAACGACGGGTTATCAACAACCTCCGCCACAACAGCAGCAGCAGCAGCAGCAGCAACCGCAACCCCAACATGTTCCTTCACCTCAGCTACAACATACAGCATCTCAACCACCCCAATATAACCCCCAGGATCCGTTCTCCTCAATGTTACAACCTCAACAACAACAGCAGCAGCAACAGGAGACCACAGTGCCTGCCGTATCCACAGCTCCTTCTATTGCTCAAGCAGCACCACAACAACATCAGCAATCCACAATGTCTCCAGCTCATGTGTCTTCTCCAGTGCCTACTTCGGCACTTGGAGCGTCTGCAAATAATCAACAACAACAACAACAGCATCAACAACAACCTTCAACACCCTCCACCCCAACGCAACATCATTTGATCAGTGGTATACTCAATGAAACTGCCAATTCCAACGACTCGTCCACCCTAGCAGTGGCGGCCAATGACAGCAACAATAGCAGCAGTAATTCATCCACCAACAGTACGGTCAACAATCATCCCACATCGATACATGACAGTAACTCCCAAAGTTCCATAAATAGCAGTCATAATGTTCCGACCCTAGCGGCAATGGACAATAGCAGTAATGGTGGCGGTGGATTATTGAATTCGAATTCAAATTCTGCCACTGCCATGGGCGGAGCAGGAGCGACAGTAGGAAGTCTGGGAGCTACGGCGGGCAACAACAGCAGCAGTGGGCCGTCTGTTGGCGGTGGTGGTATTTTAGAAAGCGCTGGCGCAAGTCTTTTCGACAACAATTCCATGTCTTCGAATAGCGGAGTTGCCAATGTGACGACGGTTCCATCATCCACGCCAGCACCAGCTGCTTTATTGGATAGTAATTCCCAAAGTTCATTTATGGGAGCTATGGCAGCGGTACAACAACACGACAAGCCACCGGAGGAACTGATGGCCCCGGAGAAACCATCCAATGAAATTCCGCCTCCCACCAGCGGGGATCTGCGCAAAGAAGAGGAGATTTCCCGAAGTATAAGTGGTAGTGAAGAGACCAGTAACAGTGGAAATCAGGACAGCGCCAAAGAGGGATTACAAGAAGCTGATACAATTGGCTCCAAGCCTAGCGAATCGCTGACAGAAGATAAATTGGAGTCACAAAAAGCATTGGAATCTAAAGCTAGCCCTGAAATTACTTCCCAAACCACACCGGAGGTTAACACAACACCCATGGAATCAACGCCAACACCTGTTGGTATGGGCAACCAAACATCGGGCATAACTACAGGTGTAACAACTCTTCCACCGCATACCACAGCCTCTGGTCATCCAGTTATGCCGCCAATGACAACAGCTCCACCACCAACTGCCAGTATAACAGCCACAAATGCCGGCATGACAACCTTACCAGGCTACGATGGAAGTGGTGTTGTTCCAGGTCAGCAGCCACAGCTAACGCCACTTGGAATGCCACCACCACCACATCCAATGATGCCGCCATATCCACCACCCCCACCGCCTCATGGTGGCCACATGGGCTATACAACACCCATGCCCTATCATCATCCGCCACCAATGTTACATCAACAGGAAATTGCCGCACTGCAACAACAACTGCAAGAGCTCTATTGTATGCCACCGCAGCATGATCAGCAAGAGAAAATCATGAGGATTCAGGAGCGTATAAATATGGTACAACAACATGAGATCAATGATCAGTGCGTCGGTGGCCCCCAATGTTTGTTCTATCAGTCGATGCCACCACAAATCTTTGGAGGACCCACTCCCATAATGCAACAACAAATGATTGAATCGCCACAGGTGTCCAGCACCACGGGCAGGGGACGCGGCAAGGGAACGAACAAGCCACGTAAGCCCCGGGTCAAAAAAGGTGATAAGGCGGCGGCCGCTGCTGGTGTCGGTACACCCAATAGCAGTGAGCTAATGGATATAAGCGGAAATGTGGTAACACAAATGACCACAATTCCACCCAATCAGTTGCCAGTCTCCGAAGATTGTGTCACCCAAGGAGCTGGTGATAACTCAGTTGTGGGTATGACCGAATACAATGAAGGAGAGGGTGGGGAACATTCTCAAGATGTTCACTCAGCCAATGAATTGGACACTTCCACAGACGCTGGTGGCAAGAAAAAGAAGCCACGTAAGCCAAGGACTCCCAAAGACCCCAACAAACCTCCCCGCGAAAGGACTCCCAAGGCCAAGAAGTTAAAGGAGGGCCAAGAGGGTGCCGATGGAACACCGGCTGCGGTGCGTAAGCGCAACGGCAGTGCGGCACGTAAAAAGAAATTGTCCGACGGAGGAATTGAGGGTGAAGGGGGAGTACCTACTGCAGATGGCAGTGAAAATGAAGATAACAAGCCATTGGTTGAGAAGTCATCTACCGGGGAAAATCCCAGCGCGGAAACCTCTGAAGAGCAGGATTCTGAAAATAAGCCTGAAACTACAACCTCAGATGAGGCTAAACCCAGTACATTGGATGGCAGTGAACCCCAAGATTATGATGATATACCAGTTTCCAAGATACCCAAGGGTGAGGGAGCCGATACCGGCGGTAATGCCGAAGTGGGTGATGAAACCGTGGACAGCATACCAGATTCGGCCGGAGATACAACAGCTACTCCTACACGAGCTAAAAAGAAACGACGTGGAGGACGTGGCGGAGGCGGTGGAGGAGGCACCGGTGATGAGGGTGAGGGTGGCAGTAGCGGCAGACCAAGACGTAGCCGTGGTGGTAATCTATCAGCTCGGGCTTTGAAAAAGCGTCGCAATCGTGGACGCATTGTACCCGAATCCGATGGCGAGGATGATAACTTAGATAGAACACCGCCTCCCTCGCCACCACCAGAATCTGAGTTAGATACCAATAAACGGCGGTCATCTAGAAATACCCAACGTAAGAAGTATATCGATGATGTTATGCTAAGATTTTCCGATGAAGAGACTGAATCCCTGTTGGGAACATCACCCTTGAAAAAGGATAAAAAGTCAGCAGCAGCAGCTGCTGCCGCTGTGGCCTCTACATCAGCAGCCGCAGCGGTTAGCAGTAATTCCAGCGATGGAGAAAATGCACTGCAACAGGCGGCCAGTAGCTCGGCAGCTGGCGGAGACAGTAACCAGGAACAACCTACCACCACAGATGAAAAGTCCAATTTGGCCGAAGATATGCAAGTGGGTAGTGGGGGAGGAGCTGAGGCTACATCTAGCACAACCACTCCCTCGATACTCAATGAAAAATCCGAAAAATCGCAAGAGGCCACTGTGGCCCCCACAGCATCGGCCAAACCCAATTATGTTTACATCAATACCGGAGATGAGGATAGTATGGTGGTTCAATATGTCTTGGCTGTGAGAATGGGCAAACGAGAACTTTTGCCAGATCCTCCCACACCGGAACCACCAAAACCGGAAGAGGAAAAAGAGCCAGCAGCGGAAGAAGAGATCAAAAAAGAAGGCGATGAGGATGCTGAAAAGAAAGATGAAACTGCCAAAGCAGATGAAGAAAGTGGTGAAAAGAAAGAAGCTAAAGAGGAAGAGAAGAATGAAGAAAAGTCAGCTGAGGATAAATCCCAGGCTGAAGACAAAGAAGCCGTTGCATCCAAAGAGAGTGATGACATCAAGACTGAGGGAGAAGTAGAAAAAATGGATACCAGCACAACAGAAGAAGTAAAGGATGAAGAAAAGAAGGAGGATGAATCGAAGATGGCTGAAGTGGTGGAAGCCAGTGAATCTAAGAAAGAAACTGACGAAACTCCAAAGGAAGAAAAGGAGGAGGAAAAGAAAGAGAAGGAGGTGGAGGATGAGAAAGCTACCACAGAAAAAATGGAGGTTGATGAGGAGAATGAGTCTCCAAAATCACCCAAAGAAAAGGAGGTGGCAGAAGAAAAAGAAGAGAAAGTAAGTGATAAAAAGGACGAAAAGGAGGTAGAGAAATCTGAAGAAAAGAAAGAAGAGAAAACTGAAGCCATGGAAGTTGAAGAATCGGCAGAGAAACCAGATGAAGAAAAGACAGCTAAAACCGATGACGAAACTAAGGAGCCAAGCTCCGAAGAACAAAAACCAGCCACAGAAGACGATAAAAAGGATGAAGTTGCTGATGAAGATAAATCGGAAAAGGAAGATAAAGAAAATGAAGAAGAAAAACCAAAACCCGAACCTGTATATATAGAAGTAGAAGAATACTTGGTCAAATATCGCAACTTTTCCTATCTGCATTGCGAATGGCGCACCGAAGAAGAGCTGCTGAAGGGAGATCGTCGTGTCTGTGCCAAAATACGACGTTTCCAACAGAAACAGGCCCAGCAGATGAGTTTTGAAACCCTCGATGAGGAATATTTCAATCCAGATTTTGTTGAGGTGGATCGTGTGTTGGACATGTCGGTGCACACCGATGAACAAACCGGTGAGACGACCAAACATTATTTGGTCAAATGGAAGTCTTTGCCCTATGAAGATTGTACATGGGAACTGGAGGAGGATGTGGACGAAGAGAAGATTGAACAATATTTACGTTTCAATAAGATACCACCACGTTCCGAGTGGAAGGGTAAGCGTCGTCCGACACCGGATTTGTGGAAGAAATTGGAAAAGACACCCGTCTACAAGGGTGGCAACACCTTGAGACCCTATCAATTGGAGGGTCTCAATTGGTTGAAATTCTCTTGGTATAATTCACACAATTGTATCCTGGCCGATGAAATGGGTCTGGGCAAGACCATACAAAGTTTGACCTTTGTCCATTCCGTCTATGAATATGGCATAAGGGGGCCATTCCTGGTAATTGCTCCCCTCTCTACAATACCCAATTGGCAGCGTGAATTTGAAAGTTGGACAGACATGAATATTGTGGTCTACCATGGTTCGGTGACCAGTAAACAAATGATACAGGACTATGAGTTCTTCTACAAAACGGAATCCGGCAAAATGCTCAAGGAACCGGTTAAATTTAATGTCCTAATTACCACCTTCGAAATGATTGTTACCGATCACATGGATTTGAAACCCTTCAATTGGCGTCTGTGTGTCATCGATGAGGCTCATCGTTTGAAGAATCGCAACTGCAAACTATTGGATGGTTTGCGTCAACTGAACTTGGAACACAGGGTGCTGTTGTCCGGTACACCTTTACAAAATAATATGGGTGAATTATTTTCACTGCTCAACTTCTTGGAACCCAGTCAATTCTCGTCGGCCGAAGAATTCATGTCTGAATTTGGCAGTCTGCGTACCGAAGAAGAGGTCAATAAATTGCAGGCTCTTCTCAAGCCCATGATGTTGCGTCGTTTGAAGGATGATGTAGAGAAATCATTGGCACCCAAAGAGGAGACAATTATCGAGGTGGAACTGACCAATATCCAAAAGAAATACTATCGTGGTATATTGGAACAGAACTTTGCTTTCCTCAAGAAGGGCACCACCTCCGCCAACATACCCAATCTAATGAACACCATGATGGAACTGCGTAAATGTTGTATCCATCCATATCTGCTGAATGGTGCCGAGGAACAAATCCAGTACGACTATCGTAATCAACATGGCGAAGACCATGAATCGTATTACAAAAACATCATTCAATCTTCGGGTAAAATGGTGCTCATCGACAAGCTACTGCCCAAGTTGAAAGCCAATGGCCACAGGGTTTTGATCTTCTCCCAGATGGTACGTTGCCTAGATATCTTGGAAGATTATCTGATATATCGTAAATATCCATTTGAACGTATCGATGGTCGTATACGTGGTAATTTGCGTCAAGAGGCCATTGATAGGTATTCCAAGCCTGGTTCAGATCGTTTTGTTTTCCTGCTCTGTACCAAGGCTGGTGGTTTGGGTATTAATTTAACTGCTGCCGACACGGTTATCATCTACGATTCCGATTGGAATCCCCAAAACGATTTACAGGCCCAGGCCAGATGTCATCGTATTGGCCAACGGAAAATGGTGAAAATTTATCGTCTACTCTGCCGCAACACCTACGAACGTGAAATGTTCGACAAGGCCTCCCTGAAACTGGGTCTCGACAAGGCTGTTCTACAGTCCATGAATACCCAGAATTCCAAAGATGGTAGCAACAAACAGCTGACGAAAAAGGAAATTGAAGATCTGCTCAAGAAGGGTGCCTACGGTGCAGTCATGGATGACGACAATGCGGGCGATAAGTTCTGTGAAGAAGATATCGATTCAATTTTGAAAAGACGTACCCAGGTTATCACCATGGAATCGGAGAAGGGATCCACATTCTCGAAGGCCTCTTTCGCTGCTTCGGGTAATCGTTCCGACATCACAATTGATGATCCTGATTTCTGGACCAAATGGGCTAAGAAAGCCGACATCGATCCCGATGCCGTGGAACGTGATGAAACTGAAGATTTAGTCATTTCTGAACCAAGACGTCGTACACAAATTAAACGTTACGGTCATGAGGATGTCATGGAAATGAATTCCGAAGAGTCATCGAATGAGAACAGCGATGAAGAGGGTGGCATTGGTATACGTTCGACAAGGCGTTCACGCAAAGAGAAACGAGAACGTGGCCGCGATAAGAAAGCCAATGAGGAATATGTACCCAGGGAGCGGGATGCTTTAGCCGCGCTTGGTTTGGATGAGATCCAATATGGTAATTGGGCTAAATCGGAGTGTTTCAAGGTCGAAAAGGGTCTGCTGTCATTTGGGTAAGTTGAGAAAAATAAATCACTGGAATTTCTTATTTTTATTTATTTTTAGTTTGGAATTTATGGATATTACAAGGCGGGGCAATATTTTTATAGAAGAGTTTTCAAATGTAATTTTTTCAGAAAAAGTTTCGGATGAAACGTTTTCGTATAGAAAATGTTTCGGATGAAACGTTTTCGTATAGAAAATGTTTCGGATGAAACGTTTTCGTATAGAAAATGTTTCGGATGAAACGTTTTCGTATAGAAAATGTTTCGGATGAAACGTTTTCGTATAGAAAATGTTTCGGATGAAATGTTTTCGTATCGAAAAATTTTCGGATGAAACGTTTTCGTATCGAAAAATTTTCGGATGAAACGTTTTCGTATCGAAAATGTTTCGGATGAAACGTTTTCGTATCGAAAATGTTTCGGATGAAACGTTTTCGTATCGAAAATGTTTCGGATGAAACGTTTTCGTATCGAAAATGTTTCGGATGAAACGTTTTCGTATCGAAAATGTTTCGGATGAAACGTTTTCGTATCGAAAATGTTTCGGATGAAAATGTTTCGGATGAAACGTTTTCGTATCGAAAATGTTTCGGATGAAACGTTTTCGTATCGAAAATGTTTCGGATGAAACGTTTTCGTATCGAAAATGTTTCGGATGAAACGTTTTCGTATCGAAAATGTTTCGGATGAAACGTTTTCGTATAGAAAATGTTTCGGATGAAACGTTTCCGTATAGAAAATGTTTCGGATGAAACGTTTCCGTATAGAAAATGTTTCGGATGAAACGTTTTCGTATAGAAAATGTTTCGGATGAAACGTTTTCGTATAGAAAATGTTTCGGATGAAACGTTTTCGTATAGAAAATGTTTCGGATGAAACGTTTTCGTATAGAAAATGTTTCGGATTAAACGTTTCCGTATAGAAAATGTTTCGGATGAAACGTTTTCGTATAGAAAATGTTTCGGATGAAACGTTTCCGTATAGAAAATGTTTCGGATGAAACGTTTTCGTATAGAAAATGTTTCGGATGAAACGTTTCGTATAGAAAATGTTTCGGATGAAACGTTTCGTATAGAAAATGTTTCGGATGAAAAGTTTTCGTATAGAAAATGTTTCGGATGAAACGTTTTCGTATAGAAAATGTTTCGGATGAAACGTTTTCGTATAGAAAATGTTTCGGATGAAACGTTTTCGTATAGAAAATGTTTCGGATGAAACGTTTTCGTATAGAAAATGTTTCGGATGAAACGTTTTCGTATAGAAAATGTTTCGGATGAAACGTTTCGTATAGAAAATGTTTCGGATGAAACGTTTTCGTATAGAAAATGTTTCGGATGAACGTTTCGTATAGAAAATGTTTCGGATGAAACGTTTTCGTATAGAAAATGTTTCGGATGAAACGTTTCGTATAGAAAATGTTTCGGATGAAACGTTTTCGTATAGAAAATGTTTCGGATGAAACGTTTTCGTATAGAAAATGTTTCGGATGAAACGTTTTCGTATAGAAAATGTTTCGGATGAAACGTTTCGTATACGTTTTCGTATAGAAAATGTTTCGGATGAAACGTTTTCGTATACGTTTTCGTATAGAAAATGTTTCGGATGAAACGTTTTCGTATAGAAATGTTTCGGATGAAACGTTTTCGTATAGAAAATGTTTCGGATGAAACGTTTTCGTATAGAAAATGTTTCGGATGAAACGTTTTCGTATAGAAAATGTTTCGGATGAAACGTTTTCGTATAGAAAATGTTTCGGATGAAACGTTTTCGTATAGAAAATGTTTCGGATGAAACGTTTTCGTATAGAAAATGTTTCGGATGAAACGTTTTCGTATAGAAAATGTTTCGGATGAAACGTTTTCGTATAGAAAATGTTTCGGATGAAACGTTTTCGTATAGAAAATGTTTCGGATGAAACGTTTTCGTATAGAAAATGTTTCGGATGAAACGTTTTCGTATAGAAAATGTTCGGATGAAACGTTTTCGTATAGAAAATGTTTCGGATGAAACGTTTTCGTATAGAAAATGTTTCGGATGAAACGTTTTCGTATAGAAATGTTTCGGATAAACGATCTTCGTATAGAAAATGTTTCGGATGAAATATTCGGATAAAGCATTTACGTGCAGAAAATATTTCGAATATGGACAAGTTCAAGACAAATAATATTATTATTAAAACATTTCTATGTACAAAAATTTATTTTAAATTATTTATGAAAATATTCTCTTCCATTCTCTGCCCCTTACATTTCTTCTGGGTATTTTCCAATTTCATATTCAAAATATAAATTTTACGCCGCAACATTTTCTCCTCTTTCTCCAGCGCCATCAGTTCATTTTTCTTCTCAATATATTGACGAACACTTGGCGCTTCGTAACGTTCCAACTGCTGTCGTAAATTACTCAAGGCTTCCAAATCTTTTTGATTTTCTCGCTCCACCATATTGGCTTCCTTTTCCAATTTGTCAATGGCTCTTATGACATCTATGGTCTTTTGATTCAATTGCTTCGATTCCGCTTCAATATTCATCATAATTTGTTTGTCTTCCGTCATGGAGAGCGATGCCTTGCCGGTGACTGCCTTTAAACCGGCCATGTGCATATTTTTCTCATCCAGTGAGTTTAAGAGTTCTGAACGTTTTATCATTAGCTTTTCAAAATCGATGGCTGTAAGGATGCCACTTAGATCGGCTTTGGTCAGCAGCTCACTGCGCAAATGTTGACAGTTTTCCTGCAGAGCTGTAATTTTCAAACGCATTGTGGCCAAAAGAGCTCGAGCATTCTTTATCCAGTTGTTTACGAATTTACGGATTTTCCTTTCCAATTGCTTTTCAGTGGCGGTGCTGAGAAATTCCAGGTCCTGCTCGTCACGCATAAAATGCAATTGGAAGTTTTTAATTGTCTCCCGTGTCTCTTCACACATGAAATGCATTTCTTCCATGTGGCCGCGAAGGATTTTGATTTCCCTGGAAGCTAAAAAGTATTGAAATTAAATTCCTTGTTTATGGACAGTAATTACGTCTTTACCTTTACTCTCAATATCCTTAACCCTCTTTTCAACTTCATTGGCGGTCTTCTCAGCCATATCGGCCTTGGCACGAAAATTCAATTTATAATCGAAAGCGGTTTTCTTTTGCGAACTACCAGTGGTAGTGGTTAAATGTGATCTGGACATGGACGCCCTGGGCCTAGTGCCCATGGAGCTGCTCACCGACTGTGTTGTAGCATCACCTTTTGCCCGCGCTAAATTCATATTTTGAGCTGTGGCCCTACGCTGTTGCAAACCAATCAAAAGCTTTGGATCATTTTTCTCTAGAAAATCGGTGAGATAAAGATTTTCCAAACGAGCCATGGCCAAATCACGATTTATGTCTTGAAGAGCCTGAAACAGCTCCAATGCATCTATTTTGGCCAAGCGTTCATCTTGCTCCTCCTCCGAAAGTTGAAAGAATACCGGCAATTGTAAGCCATTGATAAACGTTTCCAGGGCCAATTTGGCATCTTCTTGTTGGGAAAGTGCAGCTAGGGCACGACCACCACGCGACAAAGTGCTGGGATTGGTGTTGCTGCCACCAACGCCATGACGGGAAACCGTTTCAATGCGCGAAGAGTTTTGTGAACTGAATAGTGTCATAGTTGAAGTTTTATTATTATATATTTCTGAAAAGTTGAAGAAAATTGTCAAAAAAAAAAAAAAAAATAAATAAAAATTTGTTGTTGGATGGGAAAAGTTGCTTTTGCAGGGTTGCTGATAATATATTTTCCTACAAAAACGTTACGGATAAAAAAACAGACAAACATTTTTTATAGAAAAATGTGGCGGATGAAACGTTTTCGTTTAAAAAATGTTTCGCATAAAACGTTTTCGTTTAGAAATGTTTCGCATGAAACGTTTTCGTATAAAAAATGTTTCGGATACATCGTTTTCGCATAGAAAATGTTTCGCATGAAACGTTTTCGTATAGAAAATGTTTCCGGATGAAACGTTTTCGTATAGAAAATGTTTCCGGATGAAACGTTTTCGTATAGAAAATGTTTCCGGATGAAACGTTTTCGTATAGAAAATGTTTCCGGATGAAACGTTTTCGTATAGAAAATGTTTCGCATGAAACGTTTTCGTATAGAAAATGTTTTCGTATAGAAAATGTTTCGCATGAAACGTACGTTTTCGTATAGAAAATGTTTCGCATGAAACGTACGTTTTCGTATAGAAAATGTTTCGCATGAAACGTACGTTTTCATATAGAAAATGTTTCGCATGAAACGTTCGTTTTCGTATAGAAAATGTTTCGCATGAAACGTACGTTTTCGTATAGAAAATGTTTCGCATGAAATGTTTTCGTTTAGAAAATGTTTCGCATGAAACGTTTTCGTATATAGAAAATGTTTCGAATAAAATATTTTCGTATAGAAAATGTTTCGGATGAAACGTTTTCGTATAGAAAATGTTTCGGATGAAACGTTTTCGTATAGAAAATGTTTCGGATGAAATGTTTTCGTATAGAAAATGTTTCGGATGAAACGTTTTCGTATAGAAAATGTTTCGGATGAAACGTTTTCGTATAGAAAATGTTTCGGATGAAACGTTTTCGTATAGAAAATGTTTCGGATGAAACGTTTTCGTATAGAAAATGTTTCGGATGAAACGTTTTCGTATAGAAAATGTTTCGGATGAAACGTTTTCGTATAGAAAATGTTTCGGATGAAACGTTTTCGTATAGAAAATGTTTCGGATGAAACGTTTTCGTATAGAAAATGTTTCGGATGAAACGTTTTCGTATAGAAAATGTTTCGGATGAAACGTTTTCGTATAGAAAATGTTTCGGATGAAACGTTTTCGTATAGAAAATGTTTCGGATGAAACGTTTTCCGCATAGAAAATGTTTCGGATGAAACGTTTCCGCATCGAAAATGTTTCGGATGAAACGTTTCCGCATCGAAAATGTTTCGGATGAAACGTTTCCGCATCGAAAATGTTTCGGATGAAACGTTTCCGCATCGAAAATGTTTCGGATGAAACGTTTCCGCATCGAAAATGTTTCGGATGAAACGTTTCCGCATCGAAAATGTTTCGGATGAAACGTTTCCGCATCGAAAATGTTTCGGATGAAACGTTTCCGCATCGAAAATGTTTCGGATGAAACGTTTTCGTATAGAAAATGTTTCGGATGAAACGTTTTCGTATCGAAAATGTTTTGTTTTCGTATCGAAAATGTTTCGATTTCGTATCGAAAATGTTTCGTTTTCGTATCGAAAATGTTTCGGATGAAACGTTTCCGTATAGAAAATGTTTCGGATGAAACGTTTTCGTATCGAAAATGTTTCGGATGAAACGTTTTCGTATCGATAATGTTTCGGATGAAACATTTCCGCATCGAAAATGTTTCGGATAAATCATTTTTTTAGGAATTTTTTTCGGCAAAAAATTTTAGGTCATAGATGTCAGATTTGATAGGTTGATTTGAAAAAAAAATGTTAGGATAAATTAATTTCACCGATAATCCTTTTTTTTAGAAAAATGTTTTTAAAACTACTTCATCCTATCGCCTTTGTAATATTCATATATTCTATTTTATATTTTCCACATGACGATCAACCATGCTAATATTGAGAGAACTATAGGTTTTCGCTGAGTAAAACAAAACTTCTCACTTAAACTGATGGAAAATGTTAAAGAAATTATAACCTGGCTATAAAGTCAACAAACAAATTCATTAATTAATTTTTCTTTCCAACTTGTTTCTGTTTTTCAGCTGGGGCCGTTGGCCAGAAATCTTGGAATTGGGACAATTCAAACGTGGATGGCGGGACATTAACGTTGAGGAGTGCTCGCGTATAATTGTAAGTCACAACATATAATTTTACATATTTCCTTCAGGTATCCAAATGATGACCAACCATGCTAATATGGAGAAAACTTTAGGTTTTCGCTGAGAAAAACTATTTCAAATGTCACTGATTGGAAATTCCATTCGAATAATTTATATTAATTTTACAAAATATTTGTTAACAATTTTTGTTGTATTTTTTCCCTCTTTAGCTATTGTATTGTCTGCAAGTCTACAAGGGCGATGAGAAGATCAAAACCTTCATCTGGGATCTGATAACACCCTCCGAGGATGGTGAGGTGACAAAAATCAGCAGGGATCATAGTGGCCTCCATAATCTGGTGCCACGAGGTAGGAATGCAAAAGGTACGGTAAACAAAAATAGCTACAAACACGCACATTCAAATTCCGAAGATCAACTGCACGAATGGTAGTTCTTTTGTGAAAATTTCCTCAACAACAGCAACAACAGAATCAAAGCAAGAAAAATATGCACGCCAAAACACACTAATATTTGGCAAAAACAAAAAATATCTTCTATCTGTAAAACAAGTCTATTTTGTAAATCACTACTAAAACCAAGTCTTATACTAACAAAACTAATTACAGTCTCGTAAAAATCGTAAAAGTTCTTCTTAAGACGTTGAAAAAATTAAATTCGATTTGTAGAGTTAATTTCTGTAAATAGTAAAATGAGATTAATATGTAAAAAACTAAACTAACCAAACCTAACAAACCTGATTGGTATATAGTCTAATAATGTTTAGTCGTAGATGCAAGTAAATATGGTTATAAGGAAGATGGGAGACTTTTTGTTTACATTTTATCAAATTTAGACAAAATGTCATCATCAATCTCTGTCTTTATAACCGTTATTGTTTGTATTGTATTTAAAAAAAAAATATTTAAAATTTGTATCAAGGCCTACATAAGGTTGGACAAGAAGTCTGCTTTTAACAACAACATCACAATAAATTTAGTAGTTTTTACATCATTGGGATCTGACTTCCTTTGAATTTTAAATCACGTATTTTGACAGCTATCTTAGTAGTAAGATAGCCTTATTGGCCGACCTTACAGGGTGAGGTAAAAAAAAACTGCATCAAAGTCAAACGCCATAATTTTTAAATTTTTTTTCAAGTTTTTTGAATGAAAGCAAAAAATGTCGAAAATAGCATCAAATAAATTTAAATTTGTTCAAATTGTTCAGCTTTGGCACGAATTATGGTCTTCAAACGGCGAATGAAACCGTCAAATGCTAACCGAATGTTGATCTGCTATATTTTGGCCCATTACCGGCGAAGCGCTTGCTTGAGGTAATCGACACTTTGGTATTTTTTAGTGGCAACTTTGTTTTCCAAAATACTCCAGACACAATAGTCCAACGGATTGGTATCCGGAGATTTTGGTGGCCATTGTGCGCTGGAAATTAAGCGAGGAACCTCATTTTGTAACCATTCTTGGGTGGCGCGTGCTGAGCCCTGTTGAAATGCCGAAGGTGTGCGGCCAAAATGTTTCCGTACCCAAGTCTTTAATACACCCTCCAGAATATTTTCGCAATAATATTCGGCATTTATTTTGATGCCACGGTCGATTAATACGAGCGGAGAGCGACCATCGGCTGTTATGGCAGCCCACACCATCACCATGGCCGGCGCCTGAGTTCTGGTGGCCAACCGAAAGTGCACACATTTTCAGCTGACTTCTTTGGCAAGTAAATACGATCATTTTGTTTGCCTGTATTTATAAACTGCAGGACAACGAATGTTTTCCCATCGGAGCGGAGAAAACCAAATTCGACAGTTCACCACTTTCCGCCAAGCGAAGCAAATCTTTAGCTCTTTTGAGTCTATTTTCTTTCTGTTCTTCGGACACTTTTTGGAATTTCAATGGCTTTACCCCGAGCTCATTTTTCAATATTTCCCGAATGGAATATTGCGAAATGTTCAGCTCATGAGCCATTTTTTGGCTACTGCGACGCGGGTTTCGATCAAGTCGCTTCTTTACTTTTCGAACCATTTCTGCTGATGTTTCTTCCTTCCACTTCCTTGACGTCGGACTACGCTACCAGTATCACGGTAACGAGCGATGGTACGAGACGCAAAAGATTTATTCACATTTAAATGCTGGAGTGCTCTAACGATAGCCACTTGTGGTTTTCCAGCCAAATATAAAGAACTCACACCATCACGAATAACTTTTTTTCTGAAAATTCTCACCAAAATGCTTTTGTACGCTTGTAAACATCACTGTCTCTGGAATAATTTTAACAGCAGTCGGACGAGTGGCTTAGAAATGACAGCAGTCTGAAGTTGGTGGCAGTTTTTTCATCTCACCCTGTATATAAGTCTTGATTTATATCAATGTCATATGATGTCAACCAATAGATCGGACTACTTAGTTTACTAACAAAATACATATTTGTGATTTGAAATGCAAAGAAAATCAAATAGCAATTGTATAAAAACTGCTAATTTTATTGTCAAATTGTTGTTAAAATTGACAGGAAGAACGATCTTATAAAGGCCTTAATTTGTATATTAGAAGTGTGTTTTATGTCGTGTGTGTTGTGTAATTTTGAAGACAATATAATGACAATTGTTTTTTTATTTGTCAATCTGCAAACCTGTAAAGAAATTTCTTCCAAACAGAAAAATGTGAATCCAAAATGTGTTTGTAATATGCTCTGTCTTACTGTACCATATATCCTTTTTTATTATATACTATATTTAAAAAAAATAGTTTTTTTTTTTAGTAAAAAATTTATACGTTGTGAGTAGTTATTGTTTTTATTTATTTATTTTTTGCTCATTTGGTCTTCAAAATTTTGTTAAAAATTTGTTTTTGATAATTTTTATTTTATAATGCAATGTAACTGAAGAAGAAAATACAGATATTTCAATTAAATATCGTAAAGAAAATGACTTGGATAAAATATTTTTATAGAAATATTACTCGGATAAATGTTTTTACACTCTACAACACTATTGTTCAGTTCCAGATTTGCAAGAATGTAAAAGTTTTCACAAAGATATTCGATTTCCCTTTATATCAAAAAAAATCAAAACTAGTAGATTCTTGCAGGTTCTGGAACAAAGCATATGTGTATTATAATTTTGATTGGGCCAAAATTTCTTAACACCTCGAAATATTTTTCCTAGACGATGTTATGTACCGATCTTCCTATCTCACCAAAATTATTAGAAATTTACCAGAGAATTAAGAAAAATGGAACATTTTTCAATAACAAACAGGGTAATAAGGATAGTTTTTCATGCTGCATATTGAATATACAAATTTCTTTTGTTTAGAAGCTCTACATGAAATTTTATTTGGAATAATTCTTCCTTTGAAAATTTTTTGACTTGGAATGAAATCGTTTTAAATTAACGTTAAAAAAAAAAAAAAACAAACCAAAAATTTCACCTAACTTTCGAATGCAATTTTCTTATAAACCATTAAACCTAGATATATAGTTTATTCTAAAAGTTACAGGGACATTTTGTGCAGAATCTTTCTTCTTTTGACACGTTCTGTCTAAAATGAAAGATTATGTTACTTTCAGACGTCAACTCGAGAAAAGGCAAAGGAAAAAATTGGTAAAAAAATAGAAAATATTTTTTGGGACTTTAATTCAATTTTTTATGTATAATGGAAATGGAGATTTATTTCCTTTGATGGTATGTTGTGAAATTTGGAAAAAAATGTCTTTGTCATCGTACTTCTAAATGATGTTTTGTAGTAGATTTTTGCATAAAATCACATACAGGTCAGCTTTGACTCTAAAATGTATTTTTTTTAAAAAAATATACAATTTCCAAGTATCTCCCCCACAAAGGGTCAACATTTTAAATAAGTATAGCTCTTATAAAGTGTGAAGTTAGAGTCCGATTATCTTCAAATTTCACATATCCTACTATTAACCCAAGATCTGGTAGTAAGACGGAATATATCAGTCCACTCCTTCTCGTAACTCCCCCACAAAAGGTCGACATTTTAAAAATATATATTTTCTGCACAGAAAGAGAAACGATAATCCAATTTTGCTCCAACTTTGCAAATCCTAATATTTACATCTAGGTCAGGTGCGAAAATGGATAATAGCGGTCCTCTCCATCAAATACCTCATCAAACATTTAATAAATACAACTCTTATAAAATGAGATGTAGGAGAATGTTTGTCTCCAAATACCACACATCCCAATAATTTTATTAGCCAATATCTGGTGTTAAGATGGAGCACATAGGTCAGCTCCTTCTGTTCCCTCCCCCACAAAGTGCCGAAATTTTAAATCATAAAACACGAAATAGGCATCCGATTCTATTCAGACTTGGCACATGTCAATATTTCCATCAACACAAGATCTGTTATAAAGATGGTAGAGATCGGAACATTGGTCCACTCCTCCATGAAGCTCATAAAACGAGCAATTAACATTCCGATTCCATTCAGACTTGCTACAACTCAATATTTCCATCAACTCAAGATCTATTATTAAGATGGTAGAGATCGCACCATTTCTTCTGGTACTTCACCCACATGGGGATCAGGAATTTGAATAACAAAATACTTAAAGAAAGCGAGATAAGCATACAACTCTCTTCAGGCATACGAACATCGTTTGGAGGAAGTATTTTACCTTATTTACACCAAAATTGCCAAATAGAATCCTTTGAGGTAAAATTGTCGAGTAAAGTAATCCTCGTGCTTTTGCCTACAAATTTGAGGAATATATTATACAGCTAAAATCTAAGGATTACAAGGAATCTTAATCCGAAAATTAAAAAAAAAAATGGGAAGAGTGACGAACATGCCCTCTCTATTTAGGTTTATTTGTGATGTGTCTTCTGTTTTTAGATTTACTTTCATAATCTGCTAGATTTTCCCTATTTTTTTGTTGCACAGTGAAATATTATTGTTTAAAAAATCTGGAAATTTCAATTCAATCGCGATTATTTTTAAAACTGAATATTTTTAATTCAGATTTACTCTCAGATAAAAAGCATTTTCGATGTTCATTTTAGGATTCCAAACATAAGGTTCAAATAAAAGCGTTTTAATATTTGATTTTTTTTAATTTTATTCTCAGTTACATTGTAAGCTTTTTGGCATTCAAAATTCTGTTTATTTCCCCAAATTGGTTTTATAATATTTACATATACACTCCACCTCTCCTATCCCATTTAGCAGTTTGATAATAAAAATGCAATTTCATTACAGGACGTAATGGTGGTAAAACGCAAAAAGATGGTGAGACTGCTACTACGGCTAGTGGTGGTACAACACCAACGCCCACGGATTCAGCTACGGCACCGCCAACTCCCGAAAGCACAGGTGGTGGTGAGGGCAGCACGCCAACAACAGCTGCCGCCAAACCACCCAAGAAAGAGCTCGGCACCCATGGTCTACAGAATATACAGGACCCCAGTCATTGGAGCAAACAGGAGAAATATGATGCTGATTCCTATCTAGAGGGGGCATATAAAAAACATTTAAGCAGACACGCGAATAAGTGAGTCGTGTGGAATCGAATTTATTCTTTTAACCCAATTTCAAGGAATTTTTCAACTAACATTACTCCTTTTTCTTCTTCTTGTTCTTCTTTTATCTTTTATTTGGCTCCTTCTACTTTCGATTATGTTTGGTTTTTTATTTCTTTTGGTTTCTTATCATGTTTTTCTTTTCAATTTATTTACTATTTACCTCCAACACAGAGTTTTATTGCGCGTCCGTATGCTGTATTATATACAACACGAGGTGATTGGAGATTTGGTGCAACAGATTAAGGATAACACACCTGTCAGGTAAGTAGTGTTGGGCGAATGTTTCAAAGCAATTTCATTGTTGTTATTGTCGGTTTTTTTTTCGTATCGTTGTTGTTGTGATAATTGTTTTTTGGTTATGTTTTCTTAATTCCCCCTTTTAAAACTATTCAGCTAATTATGTGTATGCGTGTATTTCCATTATTTGTCTGCTTCATTTTGGGATTGTTACCAAGAAGCTCACATCAGCGGGGTTTCCTTTTTTTGGCATGTGGCTCTTCTTTTTTGAAAATTACCTGTTAACTCAATTTCCTTTTACACATGACCATAATTAATCCTTTAAGTGTGAAAGACAAAATTTAAAATTCGTCAAAAAATTAAAATTCAATTCTCTCAAATCACCCCTAACTTAAAGGATTAGGATATTCAAAATCAATTCTCTCAAAATATCCCTATCTTAAAGGATTAACATATTTTCTATCTCGTTCTTTTCCTTGTTGGGTTTTGTAAAATATAAATATTCTTAAGCATTTGAAGTTATCTTTCATATTTTCGTTGGGGGGCTTGCATCCTTCTTTGTTTCCTCAAGATCTACTTGAAAATAAAAGGGCATCACTAAATTATTTTCCTTAAATTTGTATAAGTAATTTTTATTACTTTTATAAGCATACGTTAAGCCTCTTTGGAAGATAGCTTTGATATTGTTCCTTAAATATATATCTTTTGAAAAGCGTTCTATATTTAGAAACTATTTGAACTATAGAAGGCCTCTAAAGAATGCTATTTGTGTGGAAAATATGAATTGCCCTATCTGGATAGGGCATTTTGAAAAGTTCATTTTTAATGGGTCTGTTGAAATGTTTTCTGTCCATATAAGACCTTTTGAAGAAACTTTTCTCTACTTTCCCATTAACATTATCTCTAATAAAGACCTTTTAAAGATTATCTGTTTTGAAGAAGACCTTTTTGAATTTCTCTGGACTAAATGCCTTTTGACATCTTCATTCTTTAAAAAGTCCTCGATGTATAATGAGACAGTTTGAAGTCTTTAAAACCGCCAGAATGGTTTCTGTGCCTGTAGGGTTCGTATGCTCAACAGATATTCCTCAAGTTATCCATCATCTCTTATGCCAATTGTATCAGCAGCATCCTAACTAAACATAGTTGGGCCGGAACTCTTCTTGTACGTCTTGAGAGGTGGGGAATTTATAATATGGGTTCATTTATGACACCGGCGACATCTTAGGCTTATCTGACGGCCTTGTGACCGATATCGTTTAAGCAGACCATACAGACTCATCCCGAGATGTTTGGTCCTGGGGAATTATAATTATTTTGTGTTCGCTTGGATGACTTCCACGGCACAACCCAACATTAATGAACATCCAATGATGAAATCTAGGAGGTATATTAGCTTTCCTGTAATCCAGGAAAGTGTTGCGTTCAGAGGTTAGAACACCAAAATAGAGATATGGAGATGGTGTGATCCCCGAGAAATGATGGATTATAAATTAACGTCCCTTATTAATACTGGCCACAGTCGCCATGCTTTAGCTCACAGCGTAAGTCTACCTTCATAATTTCCTAAGCACATTTTCATCGACAGTTCTAGAATTAAATGCTATTCCCATATGTTACATGTATGGACCACTTAAGACCAGGTTAACCGAAATAGGTCTGTACTTTGTAGCTATAATTATGTTGTAGGTTCCAATTTGCCAATATTCCGACCTAATGCGAGCTTCATTTCCAGTTTATTTTGGTTGAAGTTAAATTTGTTATTTTTTTTTCGAAAATCCCGGGCACGTCAACCTTGACATCGAACACATAGATTTCTTTAGCCATCTTCTCTACCGATAAAGTTGAGACCTTTGAGACCCAGCGAACTTTGCATGAACCCAGAAAAATGGACATTCTGCAGCCCCAGATGGCTAAAATCTAACTTCTTAGCCATATTTAAGATTATCGTAGCTATTGAAAAAAGTTTTAGATGACCTTCCTTCATCTTAGAACTGTCCGGTATGAATTGCTGCCGTTTGAGAGGGTTCACCTCTAGCACCGGATAGTATATTAATTTGTTTTGGCTTTCGATTTCCTGTTAGACCTTTCAAGGATATTTCAAGCAATTGTTTCTCAGAGCCTCAATAAATTTTCATATAGCCTCAAATCTCATCATAAGATCCACTGGTTGAAGATTAGGGATAACATTAGCTTATGTGTTGATTATAACAATTGTTGACTTTTTTTGTCGGTCCCTATATTCGATGCGAAATATTTAGCTTCCCAAAGGGGTTCTAGTATTTTCTATTCATTTTTTGTTAACAGTGAGAGTTTTGCAATAATAGATAATTCCCCATAGACTAGATGTTATAGGGTCCAAAATATAAGCAGTTATATTGCATCTTTCTGTAATTATATCGGACAAGATTGGTTAGAAGTTAAAGTCCTACAAGGACAAGATCACTAAAAGGAACAGTAGAAACTTCTAAAGCAACTTCTTCCAAAGTTTTAATTGATTATTTCAATTTTCAACCTGCCATTTATCAATCAATTATAGAAAAATCAAAACATTTGGGCAATATTATTGATCACTGCTTTTTTGTCACCACAGGCTGCCAATGTAAAGATAAATTTCCACTTCAATGAAGTGGCATTTATTATTTCTTAGAGATTTGTTGGTCATATAATATTGAAGCTATCTTCCAGAGCAAAAATATATCGTATGCTCTAGGCGTTAATTATTTATTCCACCAATTATTATTAACTTTTAACCTTTTAAAAAATCGAAATCCCCTCTTTTAACTGTCAAAATATGTTCATGCTCTACATAATTAAAAATAAATATTTCAATTTCCTTCAATGTTTATTTGCTTAAATAAATATTCCTTGCTCGATCAAACCTAACATTTCATTGCAAGATTTCATTAAGACATTTATTTAAAAAAATAAAAAAGGAAATATTTCAGATTCATAATGATTTGTAAGTACAGCAGCAGTTTATTACGAAATGCCTCTGTATTTCTTTCATAAACTCTCCCTTTCACAAAAAAATTGAAAAGAAAATAACTATATTTTTTCATAATTGGCTGTAGTTTGTTATTATTATTGTATTAAATTTGTATTTAAATTTTTTTGTTGTTTACTTTTTTTATAACAAAATTGATTATTTTTTTTTTAAATTTATTTCTCCTATCACAACATTTGTTTACTCACCACCACACCCCTACCTATCAACAACATCTCTTACCTCATCTATAACTATGTATCATTATTTAGCGAGTTGCCAATACGCCCGCCAACCATGGCTGAAGCTGTGCCGGCCTCTTGGTGGAATCCTCCCTGCTGCGACAAGAGTCTTTTGGTGGGCACCTTTAAACACGGCTGTGAAATGTATCGCATAATGCGTTCCGATCCTGCCCTATGTTTTGCCGGTCATGTTGGTGCCACAGCCACAGAGGAGACAACCGTAGCCAATTTGCCTGTGTAAGTTTTGAATATTTTTTAACAGTTTTTTTATAGTTTAAGGACATCATCGTGTTCCATTCCATAAAATCATAAATCATTAAAGAAATAAATTTTCAATCTAACCTCATATTATTTTGCTTTTTTTGAGAAAATGAAAAAACTATGTGAAACCTCTGACTATTTTCTTCTTATAGATGTTTTAAATATTTCAACATTTTTTTATTTGTGTGAATTTTTTTGGCATGATGATTTATGGTTTTTATAGATTTAAGGAAAATATTCTACATCAATCTGTGACTCGATTCAAGCGAAGAAACATTCGAATGAAACGTTTTCGTATAGAAATTGTTTCGGATGAAACGTTTTCGTATAGAAAATGTTTCGGATGAAACGTTTTCGTATAGAAAATGTTTCGGAACTTTTTTTTCGATGAAACGTTTTCGTATAGAAAATGTTTCGGATGAAACGTTTTCGTATAGAAAATGTTTCGGATGAAACGTTTTCGTATAGAAAATGTTCGGATGAAACGTTTTCGTATAGAAAATGTTTCGGATGAAACGTTTTCGTATAGAAAATGTTTCGGATGAAACGTTTTCGTATAGAAAATGTTTCGGATGAAACGTTTTCGTATAGAAAATGTTTCGGATGAAACGTTTTCGTATAGAAAATGTTTCGGATGAAACGTTTTCGTATAGAAAATGTTTCGGATGAAACGTTTTCGTATAGAAAATGTTTCGGATGAAACGTTTTCGTATAGAAAATGTTTCGGATGAAACGTTTTCGTATAGAAAATGTTTCGGATGAAACGTTTTCGTATAGAAAATGTTTCGGATGAAACGTTTTCGTATAGAAAATGTTTCGGATGAAACGTTTTCGTATAGAAAATGTTTCGGATGAAACGTTTTCGTATAGAAAATGTTTCGGATGAAACGTTTTCGTATAGAAAATGTTTCGGATGAAACGTTTTCGTATAGAAAATGTTTCGGATGAAACGTTTTCGTATAGAAAATGTTTCGGATGAAACGTTTTCGTATAGAAAATGTTTCGGATGAAACGTTTTCGTATAGAAAATGTTTCGGATGAAACGTTTTCGTATAGAAAATGTTTCGGATGAAACGTTTTCGTATAGAAAATGTTTCGGATGAAACGTTTTCGTATAGAAATGTTTCGGATGAAACGTTTTCGTATAGGAAAATGTTTCGGATGAAACGTTTTCGTATAGGAAATGTTTCGGATGAAACGTTTTCGTATAGGAAATGTTTCGGATGAAACGTTTTCGTATAGGAAATGTTTCGGATGAAACGTTTTCGTATAGGAAATGTTTCGGATGAAACGTTTTCGTATAGGAAATGTTTCGGATGAAACGTTTTCGTATAGAAATGTTTCGGCATGAAACGTTTTCGTATAGGAAATGTTTCGGATGAACGTTTTCAGTATAGAAAATGTTTCGTATGAAACGTTTCGTATAGAAAATGTTTCGTATGAAACGTTTTCGTATAGAAAATGTTTCGTATGAAACGTTTTCGTATAGAAAATGTTTCGTATGAAACGTTTTCGTATAGAAAATGTTTCGTATGAAACGTTTTCGTATAGAAAATGTTTCGTATGAAACGTTTTCGTATAGAAAATGTTTCGTATGAAACGTTTTCGTATAGAAAATGTTCGTATGAAACGTTTTCGTATAGAAAATGTTTCGTATGAAACGTTTTCGTATAGAAAATGTTTCGTATGAAACGTTTTCGTATAGAAAATGTTTCGTATGAAACGTTTTCGTATAGAAAATGTTTCGTATGAAACGTTTTCGTATAGAAAATGTTTCGTATGAAACGTTTTCGTATAGAAAATGTTTCGTATGAAACGTTTTCGTATAGAAAATGTTTCGTATGAAACGTTTTCGTATAGAAAATGTTTCGTATGAAACGTTTTTGTATAGAAAATGTTTCGTATGAAACGTTTCTATGTATTTTTCAATATTTCAATTTTATCTATGAAAACATACAGATTGATGCAGAAGTTTTATGAAACTATAAACTGACATTATTTATTCAACTTCACTTCCAACCACTAACTATAACCCTGTTCCATTACTATATCTCAATTACAGCGCTGAAGAAGACGCCAACTCAAAACAAGATGCCGACAATGAAGAAGTCGACGATGATGGCACTGCCACCAAAGACTCTGATTCCACCAAGTTGACTACGGGCGACAAAGATAAAGATTCTTTAGATCCACCCGAACGTCCCAGCTCTTCGGGTAAGAATAAAAAATTGGCCAAAAAAGCAACCGCAGATGCAACAGTTACAGTGGCTGATAATGAGAATGGCAAAGCTGTTGAAAGTGCCACTGGTGGCGGCGGCGAAGATGAGGAGAATAAACCAATCGCCGAAACAACGACGCCACCTGCAGTTGTTGGTAAAAAACGTAAACGTTCCAAGTTAGCCGAAGAAGAAACATCAGCTGAGAAGGATGAAAATGACAAATCATCCTCGTCGGCAACGGATAATGATGGCAATCCTTTGGATAAAAATGAAGCCGATACAAAATCAGATAAAGATACAGGCGATGTTGAGGAAATGGAAACAGAAACAGCTGAGGCATGCAGTAGCAGTAGTGCCAGCAGTGCAAGCAATGATAAATCATCATCAGCCGAGGCTGTTGGGGCTGCGGATAGCAGTGATACAGCTACTGTTGCTGCCGCTACAACTGCCAATGATTCCAATTCCATGGATGTTAGTGTATCGGAATCTGAACCAACAACTGTTGCTGGCGCCAAAGGTGATGAGGTTAATTCTTCAGCAGACGCTGCTGCCAGTAGTACAACAAAAACAACAGCTGAGACCACAACCCCGCCGTCTACTACTGAAACTGTTGACGTTGAGAAAGCTGCTCCAAATTCGGCCACAACAGAGGCCAAAAATACATGTACTACCACCACCATCACCTCAACTACCACCACCACTACTACTACCAATATATCTACTACCACATCTACATCATCCACTACCACCACCACCTCATCATCAACAACAAGCTCGACAGAGCAAACGCAAAATGATACTGTTAATACAACTACTACAACAAACCCAAACAACCCATGTTTAGGCTTAGATGAGGAGGAGAGTGGTGCCGGTTCATATCCACCCACACAAGCGCCGGTCGATGATAATTCGGCAACAATGTGGCCCTCAATGCAGGATCTAAATACACGTCTGCGACGTGTTATAACTGCCTATCAAAGGAATTACAAAAAAGAAGAATTGAAACAACAACAAAAGGCCAAGGTGAGTTTTACAAACAATGCAAATATTTATATCAATATATAATTCATAATCCCTTTACATGGAAGTCAGACGCAGGATATTTCATTGGAGGATAAATTGATCAGTATGAAGAAGGGAGGGGGATTGTGCTCTGGAGAAATGCCCCATTCTGTTGGTTCAGTTTATCTTTTATGAAGCTTTCTGTGTCTGAATTACGTACTATATCCATTTTTTAATATCTCAAATAAAGTTTGCACATTTTTCGATTTTGATTTTTAAACAAAAGAAGGATTTGAAATGTAGTTTTGATTTGTCCAAAAATTTGTTTTGTTCTTCTTTTGCTATTTTTGAATTTTGTAATTATAGTTTGGCTTTAATTTATTATTGTATTATTTAAATTTTGTATATTTGTGTTTTAGTTTTGAGTTTTTATTTCTTCTTTTTGGTTCTCTTTCTTTACTTAAAATGTGCAAAATGAATATCATATCATTTGATTTACATCTATCCTTTTCCACACAAACACACACACATCTTTGTACACTATTACTATCCCTCTCATTTAACCTAAACTACTTTTCCCATAACCCAAATGGTCATTGTTGAAATTGCAGTTGGAATAGGTTTGAAAATGAACTCTATTAATTTTTATAAATCTTTGTTAAGTTAATTTTTTTAATAAATTTATTCAAATTTTGCTGCGTTCATAATAACCTATTCCGACTCTTTTTCTGCTTTGGGCCCACCAAACTCAAAACATACCGATTTTTTGAAAATATAACCACCAGAATTTTGTTATATTTTTTGTGTAGTAAAGTAGTAATGTAGCCAAAAAAGTATTTTGTCCTCTATTTTAAGAAAATGTATAGTTACTGAAGTAATGTGTAATGCAATGAAGAAGAAAGGAGGTGTAATTATTTATAAAATAGTTATAAGTTAAGAAATTTCCCGATTTATCTGAACGTATTTCTAAAGAAGTAAGTAGGTTGATTTCACAACAAAAAAAATCTTTTTTCTCCACCATGTGATTGATGATAAAATTTACTTTAAATTCTTAACAGGAACCTGTTTATATCTCAAAGAAATATAAATATACATTTGATCAGTGTGATTTGTAATTTCGGAAATGCTAGAGGTTGGTTAATAATTTTTACAAAAAAACATCGTATATATTTTGAAATTTTAAAAATATAGTAATGCTTGGTTTGAGGTTTAGCGACCCCGTCGATATTTCACTTTAGAAAGAAATAACCGTGTTTTTATTTGAAAGTATAGAGAAGTCTTTAACAAAGCTAAATGCGGAATATATTTTCGGTAAAAATGTTTATTTCTTAACCACTGCATAACCTACTAATTTCAACAATAATATGATTTAAAATAATCCCAGGCAATGACCGATTTCAATTCCAACACTCACTTAAGGTAGGTGCACTTTGTGCCTAGTTATCTGGTCAAATTAGATCAATTTTTTTAAGTCACACTTTCTCACCCCTAAAATTTGTGGGGATCAACCTATCCTTTAATAGGGATCCCGTCCTTACCGTGATCCATATCATTGTAAGAATTAAAAAGCTAGATTTTAGGATTTAGTTTGGTTTGGCATAAGAACGCGCAGCTAGCGGGAGACGGCAACTGCTTCACTCGGGGACCTTTGGTCCATTGTGTTCATCCTAGAAAAGATAAAGAGAAGGAAGCAGGGTGGTCTGCTTTATCTTGGAGTAATTTTAGCAAACTTGATGATAATAGGATCTATGTCTGAGAGGAACATTATAATTTCTATTTGCCAAATAGCCTATGTCTATTGTTGGACAACATGGGACAACAGCATAGTAGGTGTTCAATTGTCTCTGCCTCTTCTTCATCTTCGCTCAGTCTATAGTAGTCAAGAACACTGTTAACCCACCTTGAGGTGTAGTGCAGTAGCCAGTCAGTATACCTATTGCGATTCTTAGATCATATCTACTTAGTTATAGAACGAACTTTGTATCTATCTCATATCTGTCAAATATACAGGTTGAGTTAAAAAAATCTGCAACAAATTCAAACGCCATAGTTTTGACTTTTTTTTTACATTTTATTGAATGAAAGCAAAAATGTCGGAAATAGTATCAAATAAAATTTGATAAAAGAATAGAGTTTCGATTTGTTCGAATTGGACACCTTTGGCACAAATTATGGCCTCCAAAGGACCAATGAAACCATCACACGCTGCCCGAATGTTACTTTGCCGTATTTTGATCCATCTCGGCGAAGCGATTGCTTGAGGTGATCGACACTTTGGTATTTTTTAGTGCCAACCTTGCTTACCAAAATACTCCAGACACAATAGTCCAACGGGTTGGTATCCGGAAATTGTGGTGACCATTGTGCGCCGGAAATGAAGCGACGAACCTCATTTTGTAATCATTCTTGGGTGGCGCGTGTTGAGTGCGATGTTGACGGGTCCTGTTGGAATGTCCAAGGTCTGCGGCCAAAATGTTTGCGTGCCCAAGGTTTTAATACACCCTCTGAGGCCACGGTCGATCAATACGAGTGGAAACCGACCATCTCTTTTGAGTCTATTTTCTTTATGTTGCGGTGCACTTTTTGGAATATCAATGGCTTTACCCTGAGCTCATTTTTGCCGAATATTGCGATATGCGACGCGGGTTTCGATCAAGTCGCTTCTTTACTTTTCGAACCATTTCTGCTGATGTTACTGTTTTCTTCCGTCCACTTCCTTGACGTCGGGCTACGCTACCAGTATCACGGTAACGAGCGATGGTACGAGACACAAAAGATTTATTCACATTTAAATGCTGGAGTGCTCTAACGATAGTCACTTGTGGTATTCCAGCCAAATATAAAGAAATCACACTATCACGTTTGAATTCAATCACAAATAACTTTTTTTCTGGAAAATTCTCAGCAAAATGCTTTTGTACGCTTGTAAACAATATAATAAGCTGTCACTGGGACAATTTTAACAGCTGTCGGACGAGTTGCTCACAAATGACAGCAGTCTGAAGTTGTTTGCCGTTTTTTCATCTCAACTGTATTATATCTTTTGCTAGAGAGCATATAACACTTAAAGAACAATAATACCACTGTCATCCCATATCTGCCAAAGAAGTTAGTCCTATTTCAGTATAGCCTTGACCTGATTGCCCTGAACGTAATGATGTCTGTTGGATTGCTGTGAACTACCTTTTGGATTTAGAATTTTTTAATTTTGTTCATTGGTGGATTTACAACCCTTTTAACTGAAAAATTTCTCCCTATTCTCAAAATTTTTGAAATTAGAGAAAAATCATATAGAACAGTCTTGGCCTGTTTGTTCGGGATACCGTAGTATTTTGTTGTTGCAAAATGGTCAGGCTTAATCCCTTTATTGTTGTTTCTTTAAAAACAACGTTTGTTTATTAGTGGAGAACGATGGTAATGTTTATCAGGGGTTAAGGCAGGGAATACCTAGGTTTCGGAAAGAGCCGCCTATCCTCATCAGTTCCCTTGTTTTTTGTCTGGGATATTCTCCCCAGAAGTTATTTTAAAAATAACTTCTATGACAAAAAAAATATTTTTTACCCAACAATAAAGGGATTAAGCCTGACAGTTTTGCAACAACGAAAAATCATATATCTCGACTTGAACAAAACTTTGTACTTAGTAATATTTATGTACGGTTTACATTATATATGAAAGTAGACACTATCGACGAACCCTTCTTAATACCTCCCCCGAAAAAATCTAATTTAAATAATCACTATTGTAGTAAAACGCGAAAAAAAATCCAAACTTTGATTCGTTTCAAACTCTTCAGACTTTATTCTAGTCGGATCTTGGTCGTATGATTCTAAATTCAATCCAATTGGACAAACGTAGTTGTTGGGGCATCATTTGAATCATATTAGGGGAAATGCATATATGGGAGCAATATCTAAATCTTAACCAAATGCGACAGAATATAGCAAAAGGTATTCCTTATTATATTACGGCTTTGAGGTATTTAAATAGTAATTCAGATAAACCAGTTACCATGACAAGGAGAAAGTTTTTGCAAAAATTGCACTTTTTTATATTCCTAAAATATGTTATTTAAAATAGTATTTAAACGGTTCTCTCTCGTAATAGAACTCCTCTCAAAGATTTCGCTTCCAAAAGATATTTACAAAAAGTCACCTGCAGCCTGAAGTCTGTGTCTGTTTAATTTACATAGGTTATGTCTAAGCTAAATATCGCTCTGCTACTTTACTACCTTTACTAGGAAAAAATATAACAAATCATATCTTTTCGCAAAAAAATCAAACACATTCCCCCCATCCCCCACTTTCATCATACACACTCACCCACACCCTCACACACAACATACCAACATCCTTATTTGATAATGGATACAATAAATCTTCAATGGCAAATTTCTTACAAATTCCCTCCCACCCCACTTTTTTTTTTTTTTTGAAAAATCCAAATCAACAGCTACAGGCATTGGTTTCGTCAACGCCACCCTTGTCGGTGCCGACTACACCCACCTTACAATCGATACAATTACAAATGCAAAATGCTGCTGCTGGTGGTGTTGGATCGGCAACAGGAACAAGTGCAGGAGGTGTTAACGCAATTGGAGGTGGTGGAGCCACAACACCCCAGGATCCTGGTAGTCGAAGTCTACAATCGTTGATACAAGGCAACAATAGTACATTGTCAACGGGACCAAGTACTTCAGCGGCTGCTGCGGCAGCAGCACAAAATGCCGCTGCTGCTCAGAATATAACACTACAACAACAGTTGCAACAGCAATCAGTTATGCAGCAACAAGCACTGCAACAACAGCAACAGACATTGCAACAACAGCAACAGTCTTTGCACCAACAACAACATCAGCAGCAACAAACCTTGCAGCAGCAACAACAACAACAGCAGCAGCAGCAACAGGGCAACAGTGTTGCTTCGGCTGCCATAGCTGCCCTAACCTCAACACCCATGCCAACGGCCGCAGATATTAGCCTAATGCTGAACATTCTCAACACAACCGATGTCAGTCAACTGGCTAATTTGGACATCAATAAACTGGCCATGTACTTGGTTAGTATGAACAATGTAAATTTTCGTTCCAAATTCTATTTTCCCCCTCAATTTTCAAAAAAAATAATTATTTTCCATTTTATGTTTGGTTTTCTTTTTAATGTTTTATCATCCGTTTTGCTTTTTCCATTACTTTTAAGGAATTCATTTAAACAGAAAATATCATCCAATTTTTTATTTTTAATTTTTTTATACACATACAACGAGCGCGGCGGATTACAATGAAGAAAAATTATTTAATTTGGGACTCTTAATCGGAAACTTGATAAGCCTGCCTGTAACACTAGGGAAATATAAAATTGTGGTCCCTAAGTATACATAGGAATGCATATTTTCGTCCAAAACGAAGGAAAGAAATATGTATTCATAACTTATGGAATCAAACCAAAACGGCCCGTTCTTTTGACTGGCTGGGACAAAAACTTTTTGTGTTGTTGTGGGACAAAAACTCACGTTTGGCTAGGACTTAATCTTTGGTTCTAAAAAAATTTAAAGCAAATTCGAAACTGTCTTAATTGATTCTAAAACTCATTGGTTATAACTTGGGGTCGTTCAATGGTTACAATTTTTCGCATTCTACGTGAAGAAGGCAGCTACACAAGAGTTTAGAATTGTAATTGTAAAAAAACAATCCTAAGCGGTCTTAGCCACATCACTCAGGGATGTAAAAATATAATTAAAAAATAGGAAAAGGAGTCAAAAAGAAAAGGTATAATTCTAGGCTGGAAAAGAAGAGAAGCTAGAGTACGATGATGTTTAACGTGTTGAAGTAAATTATCATAAGTTCTACGTAGAAAAGAGATTGAAACTCAAAAGCGCAAAACTTTCTTATTATTAAGTCATTCATTGAGAGACATAAATCTCCGATTTTTTATTTACCATTTCACTCCCTCAAAATTTGGCCTGAAGCTGATGCCTTCACTGAATATGGATGTGCCTGATATTTGCTGACCTGGAGATTCAAATCAACGGTCTTGCTTGTAGTCGGACGTTACTCATTACTTGATATAATGAAATTAGGTTATAATGCCTTTTGCCTGAATTTTTTAAAAATATGTAATGGGTTCTAGCTCCTGTGACAGAACATTAAATATTTAGGTCCACGTTTTCTGGTTGCGCACATATAACGATACCTACCGATATTCGGTATTTTGATAATCCTAGTCAATCTAACCACAAAATTGTTGCAAATTTGGTATTTTAGAAGATTTGGTAGATGGCAATCTTTGAAGTATAAAATTGTCTATAGAGGTTCCCGTTTTGGTATAGTCCCCGTATACTTTTTTGAAAATTTTAACAGCATTACGGGTTTGCTGGTATTTGTAGTTCAAATGTCCGCTCGTCTATTAACAAATTACAGGTCCCATTTATGGTCCGAATGAGACCAAACTTTGCACAGTTCATTTGTTTGGTGCTGATTTTGATTTTTTTAGTTTATTGTACACCAAGTGCAACAAATACACGAGATTTTGGCACCTACGATCTAATTCAGTCTGGAAAAAAATATGTAAAATTTGGTTCAAATCGATATAGTGAGATATGGCTCCCATAACTATATTTCATGGGATTTGATATTTGAGCCCGTAACTTCATAACCAAGATATGCGCTACAAGATATCAAATTCAATAATACCTCTTTCAAATTTTGTCGAAATTGGTTCAGATTTATACTACCATATATTTTCCTCCAATTCCAATTTGATTGATTTTTGAATAAACGATCCGGATCCGACTTGAATAAATCTGCTTATATCTGACTATAGCTCCTAAATATGTGTTCAATCCGATTTTATAGTGAAGCCTTGTCAAAGTCATAATATGCACTCCATAGCAATGATATTTGGTATAACAGGTCACACACCGTAGAAAAAATACGTCCGTCAAATTTAGTGGAATTGATTCAATTAAAGAAGTATTTTCCGTATGTTAGTTAAATCCAATTCCAAGTTTATACCTTTAAGCCACAATACGAATTTAATAACTTTCAAAGTTTTTATGATTTTTTAGACAGGTTCCAATTACGGTTCTATTACGCTGGTTGCTTTTTATAAATTGTATAGTGCTGTATGGATCATATTGGATTAATGTAACGTCTTCCAAATTGATATTTAAAAATAATTTAATTTTTTTCCATGGTGGAGTAGGAGATTTCATTCGACCCGCCCAGCAGCAGTTCTTCTTCCTGACACAATATAAACACAAAAATACTTTAATAAATTTTTCACAAAAATTATTAAATTTATTTAATAATATTTTGGAAGACCTCTAAGACCTTCTCATTATTTATTTTTCAATTTAGCATAGAAATATTTTTCTCAAATTTATTTTGAATCGATCCAAGGTTTGTGATTTCTTGATTGACTGTTTGAATCATGTCATTGTTGTCATATCCTCTAAGTTTTAGAAAAGGATCGATTCTAATATACTCTAATCATCCTTCTAAAGCTCTCATTATTTATTTTCAATCGAGAATAATCTTTGATGTTGATGAAGAATGATTTAAGTCTAGAAATATTTCAGTCATATTTATTTTGAATAGACCAAGGATTGTGGTTTCGTGGTTTGAATAAAATTAATGACGCTAAGAGGTCCCCATGTTTTAGAAGTTCATCGATTATTGAATTTATAGTTAACGGACTACCGATTTTTTTGATATAAGTCCTACTAAATTAATTTTATTATTGAAGGGCCTCTTGTCGATCTTCTATGAAATATTGTAATTTCCTAAAGCCCCTCACCACATCCTCACACACAAGTATTCCAGGATTTGACTATTCTTTATTATTTTAAGCGTTTAGTTGATTGAAAAATTAGATTTATAAAATGTTCCTTGTAGGTAAAATAATTTGTTATAACCTAACCTAGTTTTGTATGCATATTACTAATGTCTCAAAAATACAATAGTCCGATTTAATGATTCTTCTTCATTGTAGTCCTTAGCCGCATTATTCATATTCATATAAATATCCTCTTCGCTTCATTGATAGCATGCTTATTTCAATTATTTAATAGCCTAAAACTTTACAAAATGTCATATTATTTTTAAAATTTCTATAATTTTATACATTTGTTAATATAAGTCATATGAAATATTTAAAATTTTGTGGTGATATAATGTTGAAAAACTGCTATATATAAAATAATTGCTACGGATCCAGAAGTATTCAAATTAAAAAACCTTAGCAGGAAGTGAAATATAATTCAAAATACTTTTAAAGAAAATTAGTTAAAATTCGGTCACACATGATGGCTGTCTCAATCTATAACATATATAAGGCGGATAACAAACAAAAATTTAACCCCCACCAATGAAATATGTAACCCTTTCCCATGTTTTTCTATTTCATTGGTAACAGAGGACACAAATCATTTTTCTACTGTGCCCTTTTTTGTACTCATGAGCAAGAAAAAAATGCAAGGCATGGTGGACAAAAATCAATTGATATCTATTAATATCCACCCAAACAAAAAACCTATATTTCTGCCTTAAAACCAAGTAAGGTGGAGGATACTTATTGGATACTATTTTACTCTCTTTCTCATTGTTGTACGGATTGTGCAAAACGCCTGCTCATTTACGATGGAATCGTTTTTTTTTTTGCTTTCGTTTATTTGTAATACTAGTTACTCTTGGAACCATTTCCGTCTTACGAGGCGGCTTCTTGCTGTTATGTTGCTCCAAATCTAAACAGATGAGAAGAAATGTGAATTTGAAAGCAACGTTGTTTTACCCCCAAATTCACACATTTTATTTCGTTGCCGAGCAAGCAAACAAGCAAGACGCAGAAATGGCCGGCTGTGCCATTAAAAATTCATAAACTCGGTGCTCCCCAGCAAGCAACCAAGCATCCTTCGCACAAGCACCCACCCTCCTCCTGTCCCCACAAAAACACACACACTCCCAAACAATTGCAATATAGCATTTCTCATTTCTTCCTTCCAGTAGATTGTCATCTTGTCGACTGAAGGAAATTTTGGTGAACTAAAAACTTGAAAGGATACAACACACTACCTTAGAATAGAGATTTGTTTCTCTCCATTTTTCACCTTCTTCTTCTGAGTTGTGGGGCCAGAAAAAGAAACAATGAAAAGAATTCATGTGAAATATGTTGAATTTATAATTGTTATAAGCACCCAAACCACCCAGCCTCCTTCAAAAATATATTGTGCCCATTACTAGAGATGCCTCCTCTGGCTTTGCCGCTTTCCTTTATCTTTTTTTAGGCTAGCATTGTACGTGAGCTGACTTTTCATTGCTGCTATGCGAAAGAAAAGTGGGATTTTCCTTTAGTTTATGTGGGACATTAAAAATCGCAATTCGTACTATGATGGTGGGGGTCGGAGGTGTGTGTGGCAACACAATGGAAATTTTCGAAGTTGTGATGGCGCATTGAAGAGCCATATTTCTATATCCTCTGTTGCACTGTGGTTGAAGGCAGGGGTGTAGGCAGAATTGTAAAAAAAAATACTATGAAATGACCTTCCAAAGATTCCCAGTACAAATGTGCAATTGATAATCCAAGATAATCCGGAGAGAGAGTCCCTTCGTTAGACATTATTATATCTTAATTGAAAAATAAGCTACTAAGTTCCCCATTGATAATTTCCTTTGGAGAAAACCCAATGTCCTGATCAAAAATTATCTGACTACCTTAAGAATTGCTTAAACGTCTAATACAGGGTGAGATAAAAAAATGCAATAAAGTCTCAAACGCCATAATTTTTATATTTTTTATTTTATTTATTTATATTTTTTTTTTTTTGAATGAAAGCAAAAAATGTCGAAAATAGCATCAAATTTTAGAATAAGTTTAGATTTGTCCGAATCTGTCACCTTTGACAGGAATTATGGCCTCCAAACAGCCAATGTAACCGTCACACGCTGCCCTAATGTTGCTCTGCGGTATTTTGGCCCATTTTCGGTGAAGCGCTTGCTTCAGGTGATCGACACTTTGGTATTTTTTAGTGCCAACCTTGCTTTCCAAAATACTCTAGACCCAATAGTCCAACAGATA